GCAAACTCAACAGAAAAGAAGCCCCACCATAATGTTTTAAGGGGAAGGAAGGATCGCAACTACGTCGAATTCCATTCTTAAAATTAATTGCTTTCATTTCCCGTTGCAAAACTGAATTCCATTTTAAAGTGTATAATCGGCAATCTAATCATCCTTAACCAGCTATATATATATATATATATATATATATTGAATCCGAATCTTGATCGACTATAAAATTAGATACAAGTCGGCTAAAATTGATTGAATTCGGTGTGATCCAAGGAAAAACCTCAACAATAGAAACAGTAGAGATTCTGAGTAGACATGCAACAGATTGAGAATCGTGTTATACATAAAGAGTAGCGAATAAGGGGAAACTGACCAAATAAACATAACATTCAGAAACTTGAAACAGGACAATTTCTAAAGGTTCCTCAGTCTCCTCGATCTCACCAATTTTGGCTTCCTCGTTGGCTGAGATGGGCTCCTTTCCTTTCTCCATCATCGGCGATCTCGCACTCAGTTTGGCTACCAACAACAGGCGAGCGAGCAGAAAACTTCACCACTCAGTATCGGACCTTGTGGATATATTCCAAAATTTCGTCTCTCCCGGTTCTGGGTGAAAGTGCTTTCTAGGTACCTCTTTATATGCATTGTATCAATTTAGTCCCTCAATTATTAAATAGATCAATTTAATATTTTTTATTATAAAAAGTTAGTTTAAATTGATCTCATATTACTAAATTGGCCAAATACCAAAAGTTACAAGTTTAAAATTTTATTTTTAAAAAATGACATTAAAATTATTATTTTTATTTAATTTTTTAATAGTGATTGGCATTTTTAAAATAATTTTATTTGATTGTTTTTATTAATACAATAATTAAATAGATCCATTTAATAATAAGTAGAAGACTAATATGTACCGATATCTATAACTAAGTGACTAATTTTAACCTATCTATAATAGAGGGATTAAGTTTGAAAATAAGTGTTCTTTTTCCTTTTAGATCTTAAATTTTTTATCAATATTTTTCTATTAATGTACATTATCTGATAATGGGAATAAAATAAATTTGTAAATATCTACTTTGATTAAAAAATTTAAATATCTAAATAAAAATAATTATAAATTCTCATAACTTTTATATATTTTAATTTCGAAAAGAAGTAAGTGAACTTAGTTAACATTAATGCCACATTAATGATTATGAATAACAATGATCAACATAAAAGTATAATAAAAATTTTGTGACTTGAAAAAGATGTTAATGGTCAAAGTTTTAGGTATGTGGTGATTGGGCTTGATAGGTTTAGAGATGGGCTTATAGTGCACTAATGAATCTATTAACCCATTACGATTTAAGTGGTTTCTATAATAAAGAAATTATTATTATTCTTTGAATATCCGGGCTCGAGGATCATAGATGCAAGAGGTATGAGTATTCAATGTCAAAAGATTGAAAGTTATATGTAAATATATACAGTAGAAACTCTTTAAATTAATACTCGGTAAATTAATAAACTCTCTAAAATAATAAATTTGTCCGTTCCCGACTTGGGCCAATGTAAAAAATTGAAAAACTCGATAAAATAATAAGATAATAATTTTTCGTGAGATCCCTTTATAATTTTCAGTCCCAAGAAAATCATAAATTAATAATTCATAGAAACTGAAAAAAAAATATTTACACTCTATTGAAATATGATTCAATAGTTGTCTGTTTTCCTTTAAAGTTCAAGTCTATTTGGAGCTCATCTCTAACTTTTCTTATTGCATCCAATAGTTCAGGTTTTGTATTTTTGTATTGCATCATAAAGTTGTGAAGAGTGTTCGACGCCATAAGTGCTTCCTTTCGCGTAACAGGCTCCAAAGACACCGTATCATCTTCGTCGTCATCCTCTGCATTGTTCTCAATGATAGTACCCACAATATATTCTAAACTCTGAACCTCCGAACATGCTTCATTTTCACCTGGGTAGTTCATTAGATTGTCGATATCCATCTTATTACGATAGCCACATTGATTGATCATAGTCTCGAGGTATTGAGTTTCTTCATCAAAAGTGGATTCATCCAAATTTCTTGCAACGTCACTAGCTGAACGAATTTTACAGTGTCGAAAGCAATTCGCTATTGTTTCTTTTCGAACATCTATCGTCCAAGCTGGGATTTCCAAATTGATAGCATCAAGGACATTTATCTTCCCTGGATCAGATTGTCCCACCTCATAACCTTCCAATATTTTACAGTAAAACCTTCTACGGTAATGCATCTTGAAAGCTCTTATTATCCCAGCATCGCAAGGTTGAATTTTTGATGTCATGTTGGGTGGCAAGAAGAACAACTCAACGTTTCTTAGCCCTTCAATATTTCTTGGATGTGCTGGACAATTATCCACCACAAGTATAACTCTTCTACCATGCATCATTTGGTCAAATGAACGAACACATTCATCAAAAAGCACACTAGTCATCCATGCTTTTTTGTTAGCTCGATACTGACAATCCAAGCTATTCATGCTGACATTCTTGAAGCAATGAGGCTTTGCATATTTCCCAATAATCCATAGAGGGATTTTTTCAGAGCCATCTTCATTGCAACAAATAACTACCGTCAGTCTTTCTTTATCTTGTTTTCTTCCTTCAAGTTGTTTTGTTGCCAGTGAATGATCAGCTTGTAGCCTATAAAACAACCCAGTTTCATCCATATTGAAAACATCTTTCATAGGGAACTGATCAATTTTCTCCCTAATCGATACCAATTTTTGCTCCATGTCTTGTACATCACAGACCCACTCTCGCCAAAACGACGAAATGACTTTATGCCATGTCGGTGCTTGAATTTCCCAAGCCATCCTATAGAGAAGATAAAATCTGAATCATCATGAGGGTACATGAGTTTCATTGTATCTCTTGCCTTCTGTAAAATTAATTCTCCTGTGATATTCACACGTTCTTGATGCTGGAGAAACTACTCATAACAACCTTCTCCATGTCAGGATATTTTGCTGGTTTGTGTCTTTTGATCTCAGTTCTTCCCTTTTCTATTTCAGCAGAGAGATAGTCATATGACCGCTTAAGTGTGTTTGATATTGTTCCTTGACTAACTTTCAACTGAAATTTTCCCTCAAGCCATCTCTGCAAGTCTTTTTGTGTGCTTGCAGGATTATCTCTCTTGTACTCACACAACTCCTTACGTATTTGATCTGACATAGTTGATTTTGCAACACCTTTTAGATGAGAAGCCATCTTGAGATATGGTTTGAATACTCTAACACATTCATGTAATTTATATATGCCAAATTTGCTTAAGAATACATTGAACACATTTGTTCCTCTTGTTTACATTTACTGTACTTCAAAAGTCATTATTGATTTCCAATGCATATGAACACAGTAGTTACTAATTTACGTTGAGTCCCAAGGTTCGCTGCAACGTAATTCTAAGAGACATAGACTAATTTGCCTTTTTGTTTGGTATGCATAATATAATTACTTAAAAACTCTTTAAATTAATAATTATTAATTTATCGATAAATTAATAACTCTCTAAATTAATAAATTTCTCTAGTCCTGACATTATTAATTTATAGAGTATTAACTGTACCACCTTGTACATTCATGGTTTTCGAATCCGAGTCCTCAAAAAACAACAATAATTATTTTTTCACGGAAACCACTTTAGTATGTGCATATAATTATTCGAAATGGTTTCAAATCTTTAACAAAAAAAACAATATTTTCTTTTACATTGAGGTAGTTCAATAGGTTTAATAAACCGACGCAGCTTTTGACATGGGCAAATGTATTAAGGGTAAAATATACAAATAGTAATATGATTATAGGGTATTGCTTTACTAAATTCTTTTATTGTTAAAAGTTACAAAGTGATTCTTTGATTATAGAGTGTTGTTTTGTTGAGTTCTTCGATTATTAAAAGTTACAAAATGGCCATCCGACTATTCATTACGCTCTAAACTTGTCATTTTCCGTTAAAAATTGATGATATTATGAGTTGAACGTTAACCTACTTAAGTATGATATGATTCTCAAAAATATCTCAAATATCATGTTAACATCTAGTTTAGACAATCACTAAATTATTAACGAAAAAGGACGAGTTTCAAACATAATTAATAGTCGAGTGACCATTTTATAACTTTTGATAGTCGAGATACTTAATTAACATTCTATAATCAAACAATTATTTTATAATTTTAATAATTAAGAGACTCAATAAAATAATATCTTAAAGTCGAATGACCATTTGTATATTTTACCCATGAACTATTGGTAGGTGAGTTCCAGGCAGGTTCTCACCTAAAAGTCGAGATATTGTAATCTAGGAGTTAGCTATGCTTGGAAAGTTTCACACCCGTCACCATTACAATTGAAATCCTTACGGTCACGTTATATTAATAGAAAAAATACAAAGAACGAGATGTGGGTCTTTTAAAGGATGTAAATAGGTCGGGTTGAGTCGATTTTTTTTTGTTAATCTGATATGATTTAAAAAATATATATTGTCTATTCGAATTTGATATAAAAATTATATATCTTTTACCGATTTGATTTAATCCAAGAAATATGTATCATCCGTTCGACTTCGACCTAACCTGAATTTTGAGAGTATAAATTGGACCCTACTCGACTTGATATAAAACAAATACTTAATTGAAAAATAATAATTTTTTTCAAAGAAATTATATTATTATTTCTATTATTTTTTTCAAAGAAATTATATTATTATTTATGGGTCGGATCGGATCGGGACGGATGAAATTTTTTCACTTGTTACTTGAATCCAACCTGACCCAACTATATTCCTTAAAAAATATGACCCAACACGATTTGAATCTGATTTTTTATAATAAAAAAATTAATCATTTCAAGTCGGATCGAGTTTAAACCTCAGGTTAAATTGTCATCCTAGTCATTTTACCCACCATTCTTGGTTAAAACTCAAGCTTAACGATCGGTCATGGGCTTGAATGGTTAGGGAAAATGACATATCCTCCTTTCTTCTTCTTCTTCTTCTTCTTCACCTGCCATTCAACTTCTACTGTATTAATTGTTTCCCTGCAAAGTTTCTCTGTATGCCGTGAACCTCAAGTTTGCTTTTTTATTCTATAACAAACATGCAGAGTATTTCATGCAAGGAAACTAGGATAAGTTGCTCGTTTGATATCGAAGAACTATTAAAAAAAGATTATTCTTCGACAAATTGGAACCGAAAATGGAGGATTATTCGAAAGTAGAAGCAGAAGCACATGAAACGCCTGCCAATGAAGATTCGAGTTCGAGTGATAGTGACGAAGAGGAGAAAGTGGTTTCTGAGTCGGTTGGGATTTCTGAGCCTGATGCTGCTGCTGAGTTAGATGCTACTGAGTCTGAAACAACTCGAGACTCTGAAGTAGTGTTAACCGATGTGGGACCGAAGCAAACAACGCTACTGCCGCCCGATGATGACTCCACGGTCGATGGAGTGGTAGTTGGTTTTGATAACAATGCTGGGAATTCGTCAAGTTTCCCAGAACCGGCATTGGAGCAAAACGTCGAAGATTCCTCGCGACCAGCAACCGTTCCATCGTTGAGACCAGAGATGGCGGCGGCGATGGTGGTGGTGAAGTTGAAGCAGGCAAGCCCGATATTAACGAAACCATGGAAACTCAGGTCATTAACATAAAACCCAGTTTTCATTTCCATAATTTTCTACAATTCGCGTTAAAACCTATACTAAAATCTGGGTTTGTTTTCTTGGCAGCCGATTCCTTCTATTCGTCACCGTCTGGTGCATGCGATTTCTTGGAGGAGTTGCTGTGGACTTTTCGAAGTTCTTCGACGGCGCTCCGATAGATGAATCCGAGCACTCTCCGGCAACTCATGCTTAATTCTTTTGTTGGAAAATAGTTAAAGAAGAATCTCAAGTTCAAGTTGGAGTTCATATGTTGTTTTGTTTCTTCTCTTTTTCTAGCATTTTCTGCAAAAAGTAATTGTTTGGGAACTAAGAAAGTTCATCGGGGAACGTATTTGGGCTTGAATGTTGGGATCTGCCATGTGTGGAGTGTTTGCATCAGTCGCCTTTGTATCCCTAAACCTTCTGTATTGTGTACAAATAATTGCATGCTGATGATTTATGTTATTCATACTGTGATTTCATTTCTAAACCTCCTACATTTTAATCTTTTATGTGTATCGGCACGAATCGAGTTAGATCATTGTTTAAAGAGATTATTATTATCATTAAATATTTTAAGTACAACCATTAATGATTATAGCCAAATATTTTAATATTTATTGTCAAATGATTAAAAATCTCTAACATAGATGCTATAGATTTAGATACAAATACGAAGTTCACAAAATAATTGAACTAGAAAAAGCTTAAATTTTGACATTTAATGTCTCAGTTCAATTTAACTAGACTCACTTCTAAATTTATAATATAATATATTTTATTTATTTTCATATATTACATAATTTACATCACATAAATTGTAATATAAACTTTAAGAAGAATATGTTAAATTATTCAATTTTCTTCCGTTAAATAAAAGCATAATTTATATCGTTTATCTCTTTTCTTTTTATTTTTATTGATCGATAGTGTCACTAATTTTAATATTGGTTGTTGATTGTCGATAATTTTTATTATCTTTTTCTTTTCTTATATCATATTTATATTTTTTTCTTTTTTTAATAAGTATGCTTTTATGACATGCTTTCATTTGTCTTTGTGGCACGGTTTCTTTTATTTTTTGGCATATTTTTCAGTCGTTTGACCCTTTTTTTCATTTATCTTTTCTTAAGGGTTAAATTGATATTGTCACAACTGATCAAGATGATGCTTATATGATATTTTGTTAATATTCCCCACTTTGGACCACCGTAGTGGATTTGGATATACATTTTGTGTTTGTGGATAGTTTTTCACGTCGCTTGAGTCTGATTTGTGATTTTGTCGATGTCTTTCAATAGCTTGATTCATTTTTGTGGTTCGTTTGCAAATGTGATCAGATTTATTTATATATATATTTGTTTGAGTTTCTTAGTTAATTTTTTATTTTTTTTCCTCATATGGTCCTTATGATCTTAATTTGCTTGTTTTATTTGAATGATTATAGGAAATTGTTTACTTATGTGCTTAATTTACGATTATGGTTGTAAATATTTATTGTAATTTATAATATTTTTATTTTGAATAAATTAATTTCTTTCGTTTAAAAAATATGTTAAATTAGTCATGTATAAAAGAGTAAAAAAGTTTAGAAAATAGTATAAAGTCATTAAAGATTAAAATAAAAAGTGGACAAAAAATGGCTTAAATAAACTATTGGGTAAATTGTGTGTTTAGTACCTAAACTATTAATTTTGGCTTGTTTTAGTACCTAAACATTCAAAAAAAATTCAAAATCATACCTAAAGTTTAAGTTTTATTTCATTTTAATATCATGTTCAAAATTTAACGTTAATTTTTTTAAAAAAACTAAAAGTTTAAATACTAAAACGGAAAAAAATTGACAATTTAAGTATTAACACGTTAAAATTTTAACTGTGGGTTACTAAAATAAAACAAAAGATAAACATTAGGTAAAAAAAATTGAAAACTTCAATACGAAATGGATCAAAATTGATAATTTAAGTATTAAATTCATAATTTACCTAAAATCATTTATAAATATAAATACACTAACGAAATTTGAGCTTCATATTTCATATCGGATTGAACTTGAACAAGCATAAACCATATCAATCCACATTCTATATCTCTAAAAATTTCCTCTTTTAGATCAGTTAAGTAACTTCACGATTTCGAATATTAACATACGAATGAAAAAAATGATGAATTTCCTTTGAAGTAGTCTCATCTTCATTCTTCATTCTTCAATCATCCCATTAACAGATCTCTCTGCATTTTCTAATCAAAACAAAAGGAAACGAAGGTAGGCAAAGGGGGGAATAAGCCAGATTACACTCGACGAGAAAACAACCGATCTGCTTCAATCGAGATCAACCTCCGACCTTTCGTTTCTCCTTATCGACGCCTTCAATGAAGCCGGTAAGAGCTTTCATAGCCCTAATCTGGCACTGCAAAGCCAGTATATACCCAGCAGTTTCTTCGAACAGCTTGTCGACACCCAAATCCTCGCCTGCCGGAACTATCCTTTGCAATGCCACGATCTTCCTCTTCACTTCGACCTTCTCATCGTCGTCGTCTTCATCATCGTCTTGCGTTTGGGTCGAAGAATCCTTGGTGGAGTATTGTCTCCTTTTCCTGGTGGTGGTGCTTCGGGAAGTGGGTAAAGCTTCTTCTTCCTCATGCAATGCGTTTCTTTTCAATGCGGGTGATTTTGTGTGGTTCATGGCATTGATCTCCATTGATGGAAGGGGAGAAAGGGAAAGGAAAGTGAAGGGAAGGGTAGGGGAGTAAGCGCATGAGAGTATGAGAAGAGATGAGAGGGACATCAGGGGAGTTATATTATATTTTTAAAGCTCTCTCTGAGTCAGATTTGTCATTGCAGGTCCGGATGATTTGGTTCAATTACGAATCCGGTGCTTGTGGTCTTTCCTCTTTTGAATTTTAGTCTCTCTACGATTACTAATTCTAATTGCGTAATTTTGAAACTATTAATGGGTTGTTGTTGAATTTCAATATGTTGGATTTTTATATTTAAAGATTTGGTTTAACTTTTAACACAATTGAATTTTTATATTACCAATGCTTGTTGGATAGAATGAAATAGATCTTAATTAGGGATGGTAAAAAACTTATATTTAATGGGTAATGTCAGATTTAATTTGGTCAGTCAAAAATATATTTTGAATCGACTTGTTATCATTCTTAATCTTAGCGCTTTTAAAGAGAATCTTAAATTTGAGTTTTATAGAAAATAAAATAGAGCACTGAAAACCTGATTAGGAGTCCGAAAAACTCAAGTTGAGATATAGTTTAAGCACATGTGACTACCATGGACTGAAAAGGACTTTAATTTCTAAATAAGACAAACCGAGGATTAAGTTCCTATAATTAAAAACAGAAGGGGAAAATTTCAAAATCCCAAAGGGTATAAGGACCTGGGAAGAATTAGAACTTTTAAAGCTTAAAGTTTTGCGAATGGCACCAACGTAGGTAGTAGGCCCTACGGGTTTTTTTTTGGGGGGGTTTCCCCAGCGTACGCCTTTAGGATATGAGATGGGACGGTGAGAATCACTGGCGAAACGAAAGCGGGTGAGGAGATTTGTCGTGTAGTGCTTGCATGTGCCATGGTAAAGGGCAGGCAAAATGTACAATAGGGCACATGCAGCGGGTGCAAAGCTGCCTGGGGGAACAAATTTACGTAAATCCCCAGACGCAGTTCGGGGCGAGTGAGTGGAGATCAAAAACGGATCGTCTGGGATCACCTGCGGATAGGTCCAGAGAAAGATAGGGACCCACGGAAAGTCCATGTGATCACATGGTTTTCTTGAACCAAACGCCGCCCATGTGCGGTGTGCCTCCCCCATTCCCCTCTCTCCTATGATCAGTATCACTATCCTCACATTATCACCACGTGTCTATTTTCAATTGGAGCCACCCCTAGACCCCTTAAAAATCTATTCGAAATCTTTTCCTCTTTAATTTTTTATTCTTTTTGATGCTTATGACCCTTTAGTATTTTATGATTTAATTGTATTATACATCTTTAAACTATGACATTAATTCTAAATTAATCATTAACATTAAACTCTTGAACACTTTAATTTTATCATTAAATTATGACTCATATTAATTGATCCTCAAATTTTTGAATATTCTAAATCTACGCCTAAACTATACCCTCATTCTAAATTGATCTCTAAACTTTCGAACATTCTAATAATTCCCCCTAAATCATTCAAAAGCTTGAGGATGAAATCAGAACATATAAAATTTTGGGGACCATTATAGAATGAGGGTCATACCTGGGGATGAATTTAGAATATTCAAAAATTTGAAAACCAATTTAGAATAATTATTAAATTTTTATCGAACTATTTAAAAATGACCATTACATTTTTATCAAAATATTATAAAATAGTCATTGAATTTTTACACTTATTATAACATCGCATTGACTATTTTAAAATAGATTGATAAGTTCAATAATCATCTTATTAATTTTAGAAAATAGATGCTAAAAATAATCATTTAAACATAATTCAATGACCTTTGGTATACTTGACCCTTTGAATATAATATAGAACTCTATCCTCATTAAATTGTTTAGTGGAAAAGAATGGGGAAGGTGGGTGGGTGATGTTTCTGAACGCCAAACCAGTGGGTAGTTGGAGGGCATTGGGATTGGGGGTGTTGGGCATATGGGTCTGATCTCCATGTGATCATTTGCATATATTACGTCATAATTATTTTTCTTCAAATTATTTTTTAATTTTAATTTATATCTAAAATATTTTGAATATTTTAATTTTATTATTAAGTTGTGACCCTAATTTAATATTAATTTTAAATGTTTAAACATTACAATCCCATATTCAAACTATTAATATATATTAATCATGTCATCTATTACTAAAATTATTAAAAAATATTAATTATCACAAAAATATTGATATGTATTATATAGTAATATAATGTGACATGAAAAATATTAATAATACAAGTACATCTTAAAATCATTATTTAGAATAAAATTTTAAAAAATAATTTTTATTTATTTTTATTTTCTCAATTTATTTTTTATATTTTAAAATTGATTAATTATTTTATCTAAATCAAATGTTAATTATCGTTTATATTACAAAACAACATTACTTATATATCAGTGTTTACAATATAATTAATAATTTTTATAATGATTTATTAACATGAGAAGCGACTAATATATACCGACAACTTAGAGAGTGAAATTAGAATTTATTTTTTGATTTGCCCCTGATGCATTGTTATTTTATAGTTTTGGCCCTCATAGGTAACATATGTTAAAAGAATGGAACCAATAACAGATCGGAGATTAAGCTTTATTAATTTGTTAGTCCATGGTGAAGAGAAATGCATCAACTGTCTGGGAAATAACTCTAACATGGGAAAATGGAAGGGAAAAGGGGTGGCGACATTTACCTTTCCACCACCACTTGGTCCTACAAGGGCTAATTTTGAGCCACCCTTCAGTTTAAGTGTAATTCCCTGCAGTTTAAGTGTAATTCCCTGCAGTTCCAATCAGATTTACATTATCTAGTGAATGCATGCATTGACATTACTTGAATATAACGGTGCTGTTCATCTCCATCATGTTCGGAAAACCTCGCTCAACGATCTCACCGAAATCTCATTTCACTAAGTGTTGTATGTTCAACATGTGATCCCAATTCGTTCCGAAAAGGGAGGGTCCAACACCATTGAATCGATGCACATTATTGAGGCAAAACATGGATAAGTTTACTAGAGGAGAACATGTTCTGTTGAACTTCTGTTTTATTTGTTTTAAATGATGTGATATGCTTGAATTCATTTGTGTAGGCAGAGAAACCAATACCTCGAGTACCATATGACTTGGCCGAGAAGGATAAGCAAACCAGACATCATCCAATTCTACATCTCCATCTGGATTCCTGACATTCAGAGGGAATTAACATCATTATTTAAATGCAATATATGTTCTTGATTAACGATTTCTTGCCGTTATCTTTGTTTGGTTTCGTAACATAATGGAGTTTAAGTTCAATGAAATCTTTGACTAACCCCACTGGACACTTATCCCCTGATTTTGGCATGCTTGGGATACGATCAAAGAGCTGGAAACTCCTCCTACTTGACCCTGCAGCTTTCATGGCAGATACATGTGATACCGATAACGAGGAAACCGAGGATCCAACCGCAGCCACAGAGCACAGAGGTGTAATATATGAAAAAGAACTTATTGCAAAGAAACGGTTTAGATAATTTGTTCCGACCAAAGTTTCAGAATGAACATGAAACTTGTAAAAGTACGTACCTGTAAGACTATAAAGGATGAAAGATGTAAGGGACCCAACAGTCATGAATCCCATTATTGTCAAGTAGGCTCCATAACTCACCACTATGAAAATAGACAGTTTGGATGCAGCGTTCAGTCCTCCAAATTATAAGCCAACTACTTTCTGTTGTAGAAAAAGAATAACAAACGTGACATATCGTGTTCCGGCTGGCGGCCTCTGCTTAATTCTTGTACCGACGAACGTGAAGGTGTGTGTGCTTGAGAGATGAAAAGGACACTCACAGCTTGTTTGAGTCCGATATTTAGTCTTTCGTCAACTTTCTCAGAGTATTTGGACACTGCATAGTCTTCTTGGGCAAATGATCTAATTGTTCTAATAGCTCCAAAAGATTCCTAAACATCAAGACTTTTGTCACGGAGGACAGAATTCAATGCTTTTGATTTTCAATGCAGGTTGTGATTCTTACAAACCTCGGCAACCGAGGCAGCCACTGCTGCGGCAGCTTGTGTGGTGTGCGAAAGTTGTTTGAGATACCGTCCGAATCTATGCATGGCGACTGCAACAACTGGAACTACTGCCAAGGATAACACTGAACAGAAATAACAGCTATTGTTGGCCTGCGGCTGCTAAACTCTCAACATTAGTTAAAATTGATTTATGCCAGCAAAGGAAAGATGACAGAATACGTGTTAGTTTCCATGATGATGAAAACATGAAACCAATGCCGACAATGGTACTCGTTAGATTCCGAAGTGCTTCTGAAAGATTTGTTGTTGCTGCAGTTTTGATGATCTGTGCATCCTCAGAGAGCCTGTTGAGGAGTTCTCCTGTCGAAGTAGCATCGAAGAAGGCTATCTCCTGTTGCACAAATTTAGGATAAAACGACATCCAATAACTCGCAGATGGTGGAGACCGACGCTCAACTTGCGAGAACAGGGTTCTTGAAAATCTTATTTGTTATAAGGCTTCAGGACTCAATGATCCATGGATTCAATTATTCAGGTAGCAACAAGCTGCTGATATGATAGGCCTTACCTGATGGATAAGGTGACTGAACAGGTTTAGCCTTAGACGAGCTACAATCCTTTCACCAGCACAAGAAAACAACCATGCTTGCGCTGCTCTGCATATCGACCTGATAGGATCGATAAAAAATGAACCTATAGACTCGATTTTTGTTTAAAGTTTAAGATCAAATCAAGTAGAAGTGAATGGCATGTTACCCTATTACAACTATCAGTAGAATATAAGTAATGGTGTGTTTGATGGCATCCAAAGCTTCTGATTGCTGTTGTGGAGTCTTTGTTTTTGTTGACACAATGTCTATGACCAGTCCACCATATTTAGGCTGCAATACAAGAATTTTAGTCGAAACTCGAATCCCATATCGACTGGGTTTCCTCCTTTAATGGTGACTTCATGAACCGAGCAAAGCCTCACGCTGTGCTCACTAGTACGTAGGTGTACAAAATCTAGAACATATGAAAAGAAAGGAGCAGCATACAATCAAGAAACTCGATGCATATGCTACAAAAAGTACAGCGGTGTCAACGATAAGCTTCCCGGCATCTGGTTTTGCCTACAAAATGCAGAAACTAGTCCAATTCAATAGTGTGACGATCTGTATTTTTGGTCCTATGCAAAGGGATTGATGAAAAATAAAGTACCGACCAGAGAAAATAATCTGGACAATCCAACATTGGATGCCTGAAAATGTTCCAAGTAACAGAAATCAAAGCCTGCTTCACAAGTGAGGAAATAAGGACATAGAACAAATAAGTCGACCATCCATCACCTCAGCAGCACCGTCGTGCTCGAAATTGGGTACCGGGCAGTTCGATCACCAGTTATCATTTGCCTGCTTACTTACCTGCAAAAATGGAAGTGGATTGATCCCCTTAAACTATATATACATACATATGTAGTGCTTAAAATCCAAGAAAAACATGATACAAAACCAAACATCATATATATATATATGTATATAACTTCCTTGTACAAAAGGGACACTCTTTCACTTTCTGAACGAGAAATGGAGCTTGAGGTCCAATTCATGTTCTGTTTCTTCCCCATTTGAAAAAAAAAAAAAACAAAAAAATTGGATAAACAAATGCAAGAATGTTCAGTTGGAAATTGTTTTTGCAAGTTACCTGCTAGTCTGTCTATTTTAAGACTTCATGGGATTATTAACAAAGCACAGGAAATTGTTACTTTCGTACATTGTTGATTTTAGGGTAGAGTATTCGATCTAATCAATCAAAGGGGTGTAACAAGGAATTTATTATAGCGAATTAAAATATTTTTATTTTTCATAAATAACTTTTTTAAATTGAAGGTATTGATATTTTTTTAATTTTTAAATATATTTATTTAATATTAATTAATACTTAAAAATATAATTGGTGGGATCGAGGGAAGCCTTAGCCCCCATGAAATTCCGCCCGTCTTTGACTCTATAAGATATATAAATATATTTTTTATTTGTTTCACGGTTCAAGATAATTATAAGATAACATATGTTTAGAATTTTTTTATCGTCGACAACGCACACACATGTAGAAGCAACTTTTTAAACTCAATTTAAAAAAATATATAATTTCTATTTATTATTGATGTCACTCAATAATTTTATATATTATTCATTTATTATTTGTAAAATATTTATTAATAATTTATAACAACTTTTAATCTCATTTATAATAAAATTTAAAGTTTTCATCGTCACTCTATCAAATAGTTATTGATAAAAGGAAATGTATGCAATGAACTGTGCATGTTTAATGCTTGTTCTAGATGAAAAAAGTACGGTCAAATGGTTGCGAGCATGAATCAAACCGTCTTGGATAATTCGTTATTGCTATGGCTATTATTATTTCTCAAATATTTATGTTATATATATATATACTCAAATACAGGAGTATAAATGAATAAAATATTCGATAAAATATTCGTATAGTGTTTTTATATTTATTTATTAAGTTGAATAAATAAATATAAACAAAATTTTATACTCATTTAATAAATGAATTAAAAAAAATAAACACAACTGTATTCGTTTAAATTCAATTCATTTATATTTCTATTCAAACGTAGATAAATGATATAATATTCTAAATATCTTCTAAATATATGAAATTTATAATAATTTATAGTGATATAATAATTTATATAAGGTTTAAGGGGCAAAGGGATATTAAACTCAATTAATCACTTTTATCCTTATCGTATTTTCGCATTAATTTAGTCATCAAAATTATTAATTATATCATTCTATACCCTAAACCTAAGGTAAAATCCTAAATTATTAAACCCTAAGTTAAAGTTTAGGCTTTAGTATTTAGGATTTATAGGTTATGCGATTATAGTTTAGGGTTTAAGATTTATAATTTGAGATTTTAAGTTAGAGGTAAGACATAAAATGATGTAATTGGATAACTTTAAACGATAAATTGATGCAAAAATACGATAGGGGCGAAATTGATAAATTGAGTCTACTACAAAGAAAAAAATTACACTTTTACCCTTTATATAATCATATTTATGTATTGCATATAGATCACATATAAATTAAAAAACAATAATTTATTTTCACCAAACACATGATGGAATAGTTGAGAAATCCCACTTTCACGATAATTTACCCATTTCTTTGTTTAGTTTCCATTTTTCTCTTTGCAAGGGGGGGGGGGGAGAGAGAGAGCTTAAGCAAAACCCAAACAAAGATGAGGGTTGCAGGTTCGATTTCTGTACCGTTGTTATTTCTGATGGCAATGCTGCTGATCTTCAACTCCAAATGTTGCGGAGCCGCGGTCTTAGTGGAGAAGAACGAGACATCTTCCGGCTGCAGCGGCCAGATCGACGATGGCTACGGAAGCGGCTTCATCGGCGACGGCGTGGGGTTGGAGGTGTTGACGGATTCCTACGTCCACCGTGTGCTCCAAAGTGGCAACGGAAGATCGAAGACCGCGTTCACCAACAATCCTAAAGGCACTATGAGCTGCGGCGGCGGCCGCAGACCGTATGTTTCATGCTTGGGTGACAAGAAGCCTGCTAACACTGCAGTACATTCAATCGTGAGTGCAGGAAAAGGTAATATGACATAATTGGGCTTGTTGATTTAGATGTTACTCTTCCCAATGCTTTGTTTCTTGAATATGTTTGGATCTTGTTGCCTTGATTTCCCCTGTGAGCATTTCTTTTCCTTTGATTCTAATGTGATTGATGCAACCTTTTCTTATAACTGGTGATTAATCCGAAAGCAATTGAATGTCATTCAAGAAACTTTATAATTATAAGATTAGTTGCGATCTGAACCATTAGATAACACTATTAAGAAATAATTAGGATTATCCCTTCATTTCTAATCGAAAATTTTAAGCTAATAACTCACAAACTGAATCAGAATCATGATACTCGATTAAATTCAAAAGTTAATATTATAAAGAACTATCATAAAATTAACCCTTCTTATTTAATTTAGGATAAATTACACCGTTTCTCACTGAATTTTACTCTCTCTTCTATTTTCCTCACCCAACTTTCAATTTGATCAATTTGTTCACTGAACTTTATAGATTGAATCATTTTGTTCACTCTGTCATTAACTATTTAACGATGTTATGATGTGACACAAGCATCAAAATGACGTCATTTTGAAAAACTCAAATATACTCCAAAACGACGTCGTTTCGGTGAGTAAAATAGGAGATAGAGTAAAGTTTAGTGACTCACGGTGTAATTTACCCTTTTTCTTTCTCTTATTCATTTTCTCTCCGTCGGACACCACGTGATTTTCATTCCGGCCACCATTGAACGCCATAGATGGTGGTCGTTCGATCCCAAATTTCATGGGTCGGTTCGTCTCGACCACTTGAGTTTGAATCTGGTGGTTGTTTCACCAAAAATTGTCCCCAAAACCCGTTAATTTGGACTGAAACATTTCAATTTTCTCACTTTCAATCTCAAATTCATGGACTTCAAAGCAAGTTCAGACAAAAATGGAGGTCAGATTCAAACACAAGGTGTAGAGGCGAAGCGACCCATCCCATTTTAGGATCGAACGTCTACCATCTACGTCAGTTGACGGTGGTATGACCACCTTCTATTTTTATTTTATTATTTTATACTAAATAATAAAAAAATGCCACTTCATCAGCTATTAGAGAGAAAATGGTCGAGTGAGCAAAATGATTTGATTGTAAAATTCAGTGAGCAAATTGATCAAATTGAAAGTTGGATGAGAAAAATAGGAGAGAGAGTATAATTCAATGAGGAACTATATAATTTACCCTTTAATTTAACTTAAAAAATTCAACATTAAATTACATCTTAGATCCGAATTCTGCCGGGGGGTGGCATATATTTGTCCTTTGTTTATTTATTTCATTCTCCATTCTCATGAATTTTGGCATTTCTTGCTTTCCAGCTTAAAGTCTGCAGGATAATGAGAATGCTTTAATATTTAAAAAGTTATCATTACAATTATGTGCAAAAAGAGGCTGGCAAAAAGAAAATGATCTCATGGATATGATGTTTATAAATAATTTTGTATTAATTAACTATCCAATTAAAATAATTCCGATTAATTACAAAGAACAAACTTTCTTTGACAAAGGGACCTCTTGTTGAGCAAATCAATGAATACGAACATTTTTCTATTATCCCCAAAGCACATTCAGCTCTACTGTAATAATTATTTTGTAATAATTCGATAAATTTAATAATTATTTATAACTTCTATGACCATTTTATAAATTTTAAAAATTCAGTGGCCATAAACAATCATTTTATCATAGTTCAATGGTCTCCATTGTACTTAAACTTTTTTTATTGAATGGTTAACCTTTAGCACATCAAGACTCAAGAGGGCTTAATTTATTACGTTGAAATCAGAAGCCATTACATTTCTTTATGTCGTTTACCTCAACTATTTAATCCATTTACGCATGAACAAAGTGGAACAGGCAGAGACAATAATGAAGCCCACAGGGGTTCGGCTTTCTTTATCGATCTCACTTACCGGCATTGGATTCTGATGTACATTTCAGTGCCTCTTTGTTAATGTCTTCCTCGTTCCCAACGGCACAGTGAATATTAGCAATCGTCCGTAGGTGTTAATTTGCTTAAACTGATAGTGTACTTCTCTGAGGCATTTTATCGAACACTCAGCAGTATGCATTTCTTTTTCTTAATTTACATTACATACTAATATTTCCTTTCCTTTCAATAACGCTTGCAGGACTATTCAAATGGTTTCATGTATGACCGTGTAATGCTCCTATGAGCAAGAATATGCTCAAAACCTCGGCACGACAATGACAAATCAACCCTAAGCTACTGTGTTACTAAAAGGGGAAAAAAAAACAATAATGTAAAGAACAAAGAATCAAAGATCAATGCTCATTGCTGTCCCTGTCGGGGGCTTTGAGGGAGCACCCCGTCTCCGTTTAATATCTTTACACTTTCTTCGTCCACTGCAACCCTACTCCAACTTGAATTGCTCATGGAGAGTATCCTACTCCGATCGAAACCGTTTCCTCTAAAGCCGGTTATTTTTGATGACATCATAGGCATTACAAGAACCGCTGATGCATTGATGGAATCCTCCCCGAAGCCTAGTGATAGCGCACATGTTGTCTGCAAACAGATTTAACAATATCAACGTGCGCACCAGAAATTAGAGTGGAATAATGATTTTTCTAAATCATAATTCTCCATATCCGATTTGCAGAACCTTTTCCTTGGCAAGTATATCCGTGACCTTCATCACCACTCTTTGTGTAAATGATTTCATCTCTTTATTATCTGCATCTAGGGGTGTTTAAAATTCGGTTTTAACCGAATTAACCGACCGA